GCTGAAATTATCATTTCTACTAGGGGTCCAGGAAACTTGGAGTACAGTAGCTGTATAAACAGATGGCAGACGCACCCGGAGAAGTTGCCTTTATCCATTGTGGGGCCCTAAACTAGTCGCAGGCATCTCTGCCACCTGGAAGCAACGTCCCTATCTTGCAAGCCCCGCATCTTGTCACCTGGATGAAATTACCAGCCTTTGGGGCTGAGGGATTAGAGGCAGAACCTACAAAAGTCATTTCTTCAACCTATCATGCGCACACATGCAGACCCAACCCAGAGAAAATGCAAGCACCTCTTTGGGCCTTTCTGCAATGTCGTGCTCAGAGCAAACCAAAGCTCTACAATTTTGGCCTGGTAGAACAGAAGTGGCCCAAATTCAGAGAGCCCGCCATATACCGCCCAACCTGACTCCAGGGGCATCCTTGACCTTGAACAGTCCGAGACGAATCTCAAATAGTAGCTTCGTCGACTTGGACCTGCAAAGCAGGTCCCCCAGAAATTTAGTCAGATGCAGCTGATGCAGTACTTCCTGCTGCGATAGAGGATCAGTACGCCTGGCACCAGCTGATGTTGGATTTTGCGAGGCTCAGCAGTCGCCAAATCGTGCGGCTGGCTCTGGGAACATGGCATCGATTGGAATCGATTGGAGGCACTGAGATTGTCCCTATAGTAGAGTCCAGCGCATTCCAGAGGGATCAAGAGGCATTTGAACCCGAGTTGATAGGGGTAAGTCTTGTAAGAAAGTAAATTAGTTTCCCAAGGGCGCTAGCTCTACAGCCTTTGGAGCACGCGGTTGAATTCTAAAGCCTTGGCTTCAGGGTTCATGGCGTAGATTGTGGGTTTAGGGCTTCTTGTTTGGGATTGTTATGCCCGCCCAGCAGAATAAGATTGCAACCTGAGACTCCGTGGTAATTTACTTGAAGCCTGAAAAGCAGGCCATTGTTGACCACCATCCACTTGTACAGTGAAACCCACATAAGCTCCTCCTTTGGGTGCGCAGTCAGCACCTCCGGAAGATAAGCTTCCATCTCACCCTTGTAATTGTTAGACGCTGGATACGCTGCGAGAATACTGAGAATACACATAGAGTCCGAAACCAAATCGCTGCTCATGCGGAAAATAGCAGGGTCGCAGGGCAAAGTCCCTGCTTCCCGAAACCGCCGGGATCTCGAAGGAAAGCAACGAAACGGAGCATTTTCTGACATGTAACCATTGAAGGGGCCACATTGACAGTACATGATGGGGGCGCAGAGGCATATGTAGGGAGCATATTACAAGGATACATCTGAACATGTAGGGCCTTACACTAACTCCTGAAAAGGGCGGGGGATATGGTTTTTCCATGTTTCTTGGAAATCAGGTAAAGCTTGAAAATTCGGATTTCCATGGCATGTAGGGAGCTTACCTCAAGAGATGTGCCCTGATCAGATTCGAATGGCGACCTTCTCTCGTCATGATTCAAGTGATGATGCCTGCAGCCCGTTCCCCCAAGCAATTACCAAGGTGGTTCCTCACAAGTAGGGTGGGAGGAGCCCTTTGCCAGGGCACATTCTGCAGGGGAGGGCGGGAATTGACCCTCATCATCTAGCTGAATCTAGCTTAGAACAACGCCAATATGCGGAAGGTCCTTCTGAGGATGCATTCGCCCTCCTCTCTCTTTCTGCCTCTCTCTATCTCTCTCTGACTCTCTCACTCTGAAGCGCCAGTACGTGAGAATAGGCGGACAGGCAGGAGTGCCAGGTTATCCTGACATTTCATTCAGAGCACTGTTTTTTTTTTTTGTCGGGGAAGATGTTTGTAACGGCGGTGGAAAGGCCAGAATACCCGCCTTGTGTTATTACTGTGGACAACTAAGGTCCTACTTGCTTTGCTTGTGATTCAAGCACAGGTTGTCAGTACCTGAGGAGCACCTCTATTTGGAAGTGTACCAAAATCGAAAGTTCCAGCAAAACGGTTGAGGGTACGGGCCCTGGATCTCAGTTCAAGGACAGCAGCTGCAGCATCAGGCACGTTTACAAAGGCTTCAGAGCTTGCACATCCTCTCCAAACCCAGGCACCTAATCTGCGAACCTGCTTAAACCTTGAACTTTAATTTCCGCTTTTTAATTTAGATCCACATTAGGACTGCTTTATACTGTTGGGTATGGCCTTCTTCATATTGCTTCAAGTTGGGTCCTGATCTAGTAACCCCTACAGCCCAAAGCTCCACACCCCAACCGCCGCCCAGTTTGAAGCAGTGCCCGACGGAGGGCGTCTTCTCCGGTCACTACAGCAACATGGCTGCGCACACGTAAAATCTAGAATGGGAGGTCTATAGGCTAAAGCCAAGTTTGAGGAAAACTAGCTTGCGACGTGATAAGAAGGGGTTAAGATCATCTACAGGCTGGTAATTGAGTTTAGCACAGCAGTAGTCCGTCTTACCCCCGAAGGACACTGGTAGCGATTTCTGAGGGAAGAGGGGCAGCGCTCGTCATCCGCATCATCACCATCAATGTCATTACCGCCTTCTCCTCATGCTCATCCTGCTGCACATCCTCCTCCCCTCATCCAACCAAAGCACACAGCATGCGCAGTTTTGCCTGAGCCGCGAAGACCCCTTATGTGCCCTACAACTGCTCTTTTCGCAGGGAATGCTGAAAGCAGCATTTTCCATGTACGTGCTTCGCCTTTGACGTGCAAACGCTTGCAGCATGGAATTTCCAAGCCCACTTCAACCCCTCAAACCGCGCATGCTGGCAACCTTCCGCCCTAGTCCCTCTTGCCCCCTTTTTTATCCTTGGTATACTTTAGATAGGGAACAATAAGGGAGAGTTGCATAGCTTAAATCTGTATCAGGGGTGGCTCCTCGTTGTTTCGTACTTGGAGGAAGCTTCACTAGGAGATTTAGTTAGTCTACTGAGAATGTTGGAAAATATGCTCACACCACCTCCTGTTAACATGCTTTTCAGATCTCTTATAGAGCATACGCTTAAATCGCAAGGTCCTAAACCCTGATCCTTATCTTCAAGCAGCCCCCTAAGCCTTGAGTATTGGTATGACTGGCTAGAAGTTCAGTGTCAACCACAGTGACACGGAACCTCTGAGTACACCTTCCTTCAAGGCTGCGCACCCGAGAATCGGGAATTTGGATTTCGCCGCAAGCTGGCGGAAACGTGCGCACCGAGCGATGGGAGGATTGATGGGCATAATCCCACATGACCCCGAGTACACCCGACTAACATTTCGTAGGACTTAGGCATGCAACGTCATGCAGGGTTCCATCCATCCGTAGTAGGCCAGATTTCAGAATTCAGAAGTCATGGTTTTTGAAGTAGGGTTTGAGGTTATGGTGCAGAATCTAGGGCGTGGGATTCCGCAGAATACTCTTGCAGGTTTCTGGGTTCTCTGGAAATGGTTTTCTTTATAGGGCTTATTATGAACAGGGAGAAACCAGTAAAGAGAGGGGAATGAACATTTCAATACATTGCCATGTCACGCTGGCCTGGTTTCACGCAAGATTCCGGTGCATGCTAAACAGCCTTGTAGTTGCAATGAGTTCTCCCTGCTTACCAGCAATTTTGGGGCGTTGCCCCAATCTCTCAACCGTTCATCAACTTGTACCAGTACCGTGTAAAGCATGAGAAGAAAAAAACAATGGAATGTTTCCTTTGTCGTCAAAAGGATCGTTAAGTGGTACTTTTCGCGCATATGTAGACTGCATTGTCCTAGCACGTGGTCCAGCACTTTGAGAAAAGAACGCTGTTGAAGCAAGTTCGTAGAGTTCTGAGCTTCATTGCAGGGTCGAGCATGAATCTTGGGTGCTTCTGAGCCCCAACACTGACATCTAGGAGCGAGACACGTAAACCCAAAACCATGAGAGGTGAAAGTTGAACCCGCTGACCTCATAATGGCTGTGCCATTTTGTACAAACCTGCAACTGCACTGAAAACCGGAATGCTGCTGCACTTTGTAAGTTGCAAAGTTGCAAGCGCCCCCGGTCTAAGGTTTTGAGGATTGATGACAGTAAGCCCTTTAAAGGGGTATATAGGTCCCTTTAAAAGTGGTATTTAAAGGGGCATATAGGGCCCTAAAATATAGCGGGGAGCTGGTTCAGCAGATTTTTTTCTGAAAGCGGAGCTCCAGGTACGGCTACTACGATGCCCAGACCATGGCTAAGATCAATGAGCAGGATCACCATGTTTTTGTTTAATTTGGGGCTGAGCACAAGGGATGTGCGATGAACCTCCTCAGTAAACGCTCACCTTCTGTGCCCGGTCACAGGAGTTTGCAAAAACTTGTCCAGGCGATGGCGGGAGCTGTACAAGATATTCACGCGAGTGCTATATACTTCCATCAACTAAACCAAATACGTATCTATGCTGTATTATATTCTAGTATCCTATAATATACTGTGGTATACTGGGTGAAATTTCAATATACCATGTTATATGATAATATACTAACTAAGAAGGAGCGGACAGGCAGCCCCTTGGATGCCTTTGCCTTCGCTTGGATCACGTCTGGAGCAATATTGCATCTAGAGCCTCACAGGATTGATGAGAGCTATATATAGTCTAATTTCTTAGTATCCCCCGTGATAACCCCTACAATGCTCCCCTATATAATCCCCTATATAACCCCCTTTCAGGAGTTTAGACCATAAACCCTATTTAAAACCTAAGCCCTATATAATCCCCTATATAACTATAGCTCACGTGGATGTTTCAAAGACATCCCCAAGCTCATCCCCAATTGGACCCCCCGCCCATTCCCTTTGCAATCGCTGCAGATCTCCTTCGCCCCCAGAACCCTCCCCCTGAACCCAAACCCTAAGCCTTAAACGCATGTTGAGGAGTGTTTTTGGCTCAGGTCTCGACCATTGGGCTCGCAATATAGCACTATGGCCCCCAACTCTTTTCTGGCCTCTCAGTTTGGGTACCTAGTTGTAGGCTGTTTGTAAGATTGTTAAAGCTTGCTCACATGAATATGAGAGGTCAATAGTATTCAATAGCCATAGTGATGATAGCGCTAAGTATCGGTCTAGTTATGGTCAATAGAATGAAGGATCTCAAGCTAAAAGGAACTCCTAAGGGCCCATAGCTTCAACTTTACGTAATGTCAGGACGTGATGTGGTGGACTGGGCTTACGGAGCCTCCATCTGTCAAGAGCTCAGCTCTGTTGGTCAACATGTTTGGGAGCTTCGCAATGTGAGGGTGAAGGGTTTCTGGGGTGTCTTGCGTCAAAGCAGGGGTTTGGGTTGTTTGTTTGGGGCTTCAGGCTTGTTTTTCTTCTCGAAATAGGGGTACTCTAGAAACCCAAGGGATTAGTAGGGCTTACGCGAAGGTTGCAGGCCCCTTTTGAGCATTGTGTAGTGGAGTAGCCGCTTTGAGACTCCAGAGTTCGGAAAACTAAAGTGTGAAGCCTTTCCCACTCGAAGCTCGGGCTGTTTCATGTCATTCTCTTCCCAAGGACATTCTCGACTTACTCGAGTTCCTGATCAGCCGCTTCAACAATGTGGATGAGGCATTGCCGTTGGAACAACTCGCTTGCCTCTAGATTTTCCCTTAGGCCTGGTGCCGCAAACGTGTCTTCAATTCAAGACCCTATTCCCCAAAAAGGCAACAGTATGTGAAAGTGTCGGGGTTGACCAGGGTGCAGGCACCACACCCGGGGACATGGATGTCTTTACAAAAATGTCCCCACAGCAGTGTATCACCTATACAGCCTTGAGGCCTTGAACCCTACAAGTCCATGAGCCTTAGACCCGAGATCCACAAACATGAAACCGTGGGTGGGAGCCTGAACGCTTTCTGTTGTCATTTCCGTTTGGTCTAGTTGGACTATTCCATTCTAAGTTGCAGGAGATGGTATCTGCGAAGATACTTCTAATCATGAACCAGGTCCCAGCAGCACTGCATGACCATAAAACCGCCAAATCTCAAACCGTATCCTAAATAATCCCTCAAGCCCAAAACCAAGCTCCATACCTCAAACCCGAAACCAGAAGCCCTAACCCCCAATCCCCATACCCTAAACAACCTTGCCCCTGTAGCTTCCTGGTCCATCGTAGGGAATAAGGGAAAATCCTTACATAGACCCTATAGAACATGTTCCCATATAGCCTACCCTAAATGCCATAATTAGATATTCCCATATTCCCTACTAACCGAAGTAGGTTAAACCCTGGACCAGGCCTTCAGGAAGATCATCAGTACCAGCGACACCAAGACGCCACTGATCACTCTCCGTGCCCGCCCTATGGGGTTTGGGATATAGGGTTTAGGGCTGAGAACTTATAGGGTTTAGGGCTTGGAATTTAGGGTGTAGGGCTTAGAATTTAGGGCTTGGGACTTAGAATTTAGGGTTTAGGGCTTAGACTTTAGGGTTTAGGGCTAGGGTTAAGAGTTTAGGGTTGGGGTCAGGAGCTGCTTGGCTCAGGCTTCAACCCTTCGTTTAAGGTTTAGGCAAAAGGTTTACGGAAGCCAAAAAGTCGTCAGTAGCAAAGAAAACTTTTCGTTGGCCTTTGGTCCTTGTTCCTTGCAGCAGTGTTTTCGCGCCTGAGATACCTGTGTTCCATATGGCCCATGCCTGTGTTTTATGGAGCTTCGCGTCGTTGCCCTGTTTTGCAGCAAGCACCGATTGCTTGAAGTGGCCGAGCATGGCCATGGGTGACGCCCCGACTGTGTGCACCCTTGTTTGTGGAGTAGGAGGGTGGACAGCCCTGAAGGGACGAAGCGGTTCTGTTTGCAGCCGTTAGACATCGGATTGTACGCCGACTTTGCGTGCGGTTTGTTTCAAGGCAATCGACCTCATCACCACAAAGCCATAAAGACATGCGCAGGAATCCTTAATTCTTGACTTGCGAGTTGCGAATACATCAACGAGGCCGCCAGAAATTATTGCAATGCCACTCCCATGGGTATCCTCAAAGTGCAAGCTTACCCCAACCAGCCTCAGGTGTGTTCCAAGCTGCTTTGGTGGCGTTGGAGTGTGGCAAGTTCAAAGGCTGGCCGCTTACTCTCAAAATTCTGTAACTTAAAAATTGTCAAGGATGGTCGCATGTATTTTGAGCTCCAAAACTGGGCCCCAACCTTCTTGGGGAAGTATGGAGATGACCTTGCGAGGGTGAAGGTGCCGGGGCGAGGTTACATTGGTGAGGACTACTTACAGGTTTTCCTAAACCCTAAACCCGTAGGCAGCGTTATGACGACTCCAAGCAAGGTTAGAGCTTTTTTGCAGAACAGTTGCCTCACCTAAAACTGCAGCTTTAAGCAGGACCAGGATATGTAAGACTAGGTAGGGCTAGCTTGTTTCCATCTGGCCCTTACGAAGTTAGACCCGCCCCTGGTCATGATTTCTTTGAAGTCCAGAAACAATGTTCGCGCGTGTTGCGCACGTGAGTACAAGAGCTATTACTGGGCAGTGCCCATAACCCATTTCCAACCTCCTGCAGCATCTTCCTCTCTATCTTAATGGCGTTAATCACCAAGAAGCCGGTGATGGAGGTTCATGTCAGAAGCTGCCACAAGCCCTACTTGGATGCTCTTCCGAAATCATTCCAACCTATTTCTCCGAATTCCATGTTGCCCTAATAGGCCAAGTGCCCGAATAGTATATCATTTGGTTCCGACGCGTTCATTTTCTATGCAGGCACCTGGACCCTTATAAGGATGGTGTTAGAACCCGCAGCAATGCAGGTCCGGACGAACACCAGCGCTTGCAGGCCATTTTCCGCTACCTCGACCCGGGAGGCAAGTCCGGGGCATTGCAATCTCCTTTACGCGGGGTTTCTAAACTCATGGAGCATTTTGGGGAGCTCCTGTAATCCGATTGTCCGCCAGAAAGAGGCCCAACACTTGGATCTTCATGGATGCTGTAGGTATTGCTGTGGTTGAGGAATTGAGGAAGTCTGTTTGCAAGTTTGTTTCGGGTAGCGGGTACCACACTTAATTCCTCAGCATGAGACCTCTAAGCAAACCCTTAAAATTGATGTGCCCCCATGTACGATGGCTTCATGAAAGTGTGTCCCATGTCATAAGATAACTTCTAACTACACGAACCTCCTAAGGTCCTAGCTGTCACCCTGAACCCCACAAACCCCAAGCCCCTAAACCCCCAGATCCGAGCCCTTGCTCCCAAACCTTTATGCCCTGTCCTGTTGCCGTGCCAGCACTGCTATGCGACGCGCGTGTTTAAACCTAAACTCCTCATACCCCACAACCTAAAATTCTGAGCCCGGCCCATGCGGGATGTACTTTTGCATTTGAAGGGGTTCTCAGATAGTTGGCACAGTTGGGTGCAGGTATCTCTCATACAGGTACCTGGAGCTTTTGGGCTAAGCCCAGAATTGCGGAGACACCCTAAACCCTGAAACCTAAAACTCTAAAGTTAATAATAAGAATAGTAATAGTAGGATTAATGGTAATAATCGTAGTAATAGTAGTACTAGTAGTAGTAATAGTAGTACTAGTAGTAGTAATAACCCTAAACCCTAAAACCCTAAACCCCTAAACCCTAAACCCCACAACCTTAAAACCCTAATAAAGCCCTGTGGTGAGGAGAGGGAAGCATCTCCCAGGATGAGTGGCGGGTACTCGGCCAGCTGTGGAACGAATTTGACCAGTCCTCAGAGTTGAAGATTTCGGGTTCTAGGGTTATAGGGTCTCAGGGTTCAGGGTTTTAGGGATAAGTTACTTACTTATAGTATGATAGGTATTTCTGGGATCCACTCCGCAATTCCCAACTAAGCAACGGCAGGTTTAGGGCTTGCGTGACATACATTCATATATACATATGCCCCAGATCTATTCACCAATGGGTTTCGGGTTGACCTATTCCCCGGCTCTATTCACCGACGGTTCCTCGAGCTCAGAGATCGAGTGTCCGCACAACAATTCAGGTCATGGGGTCAAGAGCCCATTGGTGTCTTGCATGGGGCTTTCCCATAAGAATGCCTTCTTGCAGGAGATGTCAGCCTCTTCAAGACTTGCATCAACATCACTTCCGGTCCTGTTTCACGTTACCGAAAGAAGCACGAGCAGGAAATGTTCGGGTTGAAATTAGATACAAAGTCGCTTGAAGATACCGATGGCATCGGTCCACCAGATGTTCGGGTAAAACTGGCAAAGTGCGTTCAGCTTTTACAGGATGAATTTGATGGGCTTACATGGGGCACGTGTGGTTGGACCTCTAACCTATTCTAGCTGGATAGGCCCCCTACATTTTGCATACCCAGGACCTGACGATTCGCGAGTTCGTCCAGTTCTTGATCATTGCCTTTGGTGAGGACTGTAGGTACTGTAACTTTGTAAGCACGAGCTTGAATAACAAGATCGCCTCTTGAGATCCCATTATCCCATTGTATCCCTGCAGTAAACACGTTCTTTATCCCTGCAATAATTTGAGCAATAATAGTTAGAAGCTAGAAGGGTTCGGTGGAATCAAGCATCTAGGTCATTGGTTCTCAAAGACGCACATGCCTGCGCAACGTTTTTCAGGGCAGAGTAGGCGAGCCTGAAAACACCACCCTGTGTCACAAAGTCTGCGACGATTCCTAGTCACACTTTCATAGCCACAGGATGCTCAGCAGTGGGAGCCCCTAATCCACTGCGAGACCATGAAATTGGCCCATCAGTTTATAGCGGTGTCCAAATGTTCACAACTTAGTGTTTAGGGTTTAGGGTTAAGCGAAGTTGCCACATGGCTAGCTGCGTTTTGTGCTCCACCTGCTGCGAGGATTTGCAGGATGCGTGGGAGGTTAAGAGCTCAGATGGCAAACAGTCCCATGCGTTCATACCACAAATTCCCAATTAGGGTTTAGGTGCTTAGGGTTTAGGGTTCCAGTGGTCATTACACAGTTTGTTGAAACTTCCGTTTTTAGGAAGCTGTAGAGCACCTCTGGTGGCGTAAGTTGTTTGCAAAGTTGCTCAGTCAATGTTGTCGTGCTTGGGGCTCAGAGTTAAGTCTTTACAGTACGTACGGTTTAGGGCGGGGTGCGCTGTGCTGAAGACCTTACTCGAATAAGAGTGACAACCCGATGCTTAGGCCAAGGCCGGCCAGGGCCATAGTAGAGCTTGTCAGATAGATGCAGACATGCAGTTAAGGTTCGGCGCAGATGTCTCAAGCAGTGCAACCTGGATAGCCCGACCCTTCTTAAGGGTAACTTGCATACCGTGGTCATCCTAAACCCCAAAACCGCTTATGGTGCTCAACAACACCGCGGACGAAGCGCATAGACCTTGGGTTCCTCAAAAGACCATGAATTGCCACAGGAGACAAACCTTAAACACCTGAAGCCACAGCCCCCCGACACCCGCATCTTAACAGCCCTAAGTGCCTCGAAGCGCAAGGCCCATGCTTGGGGGCCTTCCCTAAATTTGGGAACATGCCCTGACTTTATTTTTGCTTGCACGGTCGTACCTGCGCTCATTACGTCAGCAGGGTATACCCTGAACTCTGCTTTAGATTCACCATCCTTGACACGAAGTATTTTGGCTCTGCACCTCAGGGTGATGTGCTTGAGAAACTGAGGATGGAGGAAATCTTGCACCACCCTAGAGCAAGATTTCCTCCATCCACCAAAGGGTGACTGATTTAGGGAAGGCTAGGCCACCTCACTTCAGGGCTTTCGGTTTGGGTTTAAGGTTGAGGCTTCCCATAAAGAATGTCAGAGGTTGGACATTGAGCATGAGAGCCTTGATAGCTTTCATCCAAAAAGGAACGCACGCTTCCCAAATCTGAGCCCGGGAAAAACATGTTGATGGGTCCCGCTTTATTTCAACTTAGTCCGCAGAACTGCAATAGCTCAGGTACCAAGGCCTGAAACTTGAATCAAATTGTCTCCCTCAACAGAACATGGTTGACAAAGGCTCTGGACGATGACCAAAGTGGAGAGCTCTCCGAGGCCATTGTACCACTGAGCGTTGAAAGGATGATGTGAGCTATAGTACAAACTCCTTCAAGGGGGTATATAAGGGCTTAATTTAGGGGACTACTATAGGGGGTATTAAGGGGGATACTAGGAGTTTAGACTGGGCCTCATGTAGGGTTTAGGGCTTAGGCTTTAGAGTTTCTGCAAAGATACACCATGCTTTAAGGTGGTATCTTGCTTAGCCTCACCAGTAGTGTAGGGAGTAGTTAAGGTTGAGACTCAGATCAGTAAGCCGTGTTGAGGAGGTAAAGAATTCGAAGGAGAGTTCAACTGTGAGATATGCATACGAAGCTCTCATTCTCAGATTGTGTTGATGATTGTTCAGGAGGGTAGAGGGGGATACCATGATTCTTTGCATGTTGCTTCATTTACTTCGTCAAAGCTATGGTTGCCTGCGGGTATGAGCAACGTAGTGCATTGTAGGGCCTCCATGTGTTTAGTTCCTCTCGAGGTCAACAGGTAAAACTCTCAATCCACCAAAGGTTTCCTAAAACCCTAAATGGGGGCTTCCCAAAATTAGGGGTACCATTTTGGGGATCCAAATAATAAGGATGATAATATATTGGGGTCTTGATTGGGGTCCCCCTATTTAGGGAAACTACCAAATCCCAGCTAAACCCAAATCTTCCTGTCGTGATCGTTAAATTGCCAGGAAGAATGGTTTGAAGCTGTCCAAGGCTCAGAGCTTCGTGTGAGGACTGAGGCGGACACATCCCCAAATGCTCGTGTGGCGCCTGAAGTCTAGCAAAACGTGGGAATTTCCAAAAATTATGATTACCTTTTTTGGGGTCCCTATGTTAAGGATTCTAGTATTTTGGGGTCTATATTGGGGTCCTTCTACTTGGGCTCCTTTGCCTTGGGCTTTAGACTTATTACTAGTATGGGTTGCTAAGGTGGGTGTGTTCGGGAGTGGACTACTGCAAGACGTGCCTGTTTCAGATGTGGGGTCTGCACGATTTTGTGCAGACTTTCTTTTTGCCAGGAGGCTTCATGTACAAGCCTATATACATGAGGGGTTCTATGCCTCACAGAACCCAGCATAATTTCGGCATCGTTATCTGCATCATCGACCTCGGAAAATAGCTGGGGAGTAGCCAGCTAGCTGGTAGTACCTACAGATAGTAGCAGGCTAGCTATTTCCCAGCCTATCCAGTCTTAATATTTTACATGGGCAGCACCCTGAAAGAAACCATTGCTGAGGTTGAGAAGATCGGATACTTCGGACCTGCCAGGCGGATGTTGTTTTTCTCCCTTGTGTTCAGGAGGGGATGGCAACCCATTATGAGGGCCATCAGAGGGGAGTATGTAGAAATTACTGGAAGGACCCGGTCCCCCATTCACGATATAAAGCAGGGAAATCTTGCGTTTGGAGATTTAGGGTGGAGCTTGCCTAGGCTTCTGGATTTGAGTGGGTAGTGTGGCGACCGCTAGCTTTTTACAGTGGCTGTAAAGTGGAAAGTCTTGAGGGGAACTTTTGTGTACTTCTTGGTGTAGAAGACAAGGAGGATCTCGGAACCCTACCTGTTTGCAGGGTGATATTCGCACTGCTGGACGGCTCCGACGACGGCGACATCTCAGCAAATGAGCGGACACCTCAGACTTCAGTCGCTCAGTGGTCGTGATGGTAGTTATAGTACAAAAGTAGCAGTGGCAGTAGTACTCATGGACGTTTTCAAAACGATCGCAAAGGTACCAGGAAGAGACAAGTATTCGCAACAGTGACAGTATTACATGGCCTGGTCGCTAAGTAAGTAGAAAAAGCTCAGCTCGACTAGTATTCTACCTTATTATCAAAAATACTACGTTACTCACTACTCCTTCCGCCTAATAATCAGGGCGTTCCCCCTGTTTAGACCTCCCTGGGGTGCTGTTTGTCTGTGTGAAGTGGGAGGGGGGCGTTACCCCCAGGCCTCCCCCCCCCTCCCGGTAGCCTCAGTAACCAATAGCTCCAATTTCAATCTTGTTAATCTAAGTAAATATCCTATAGACCTAGAAACCTGGGTCTGGCCCGAGCCCCTCTCATTCTCTTTTTTTTTTGGTTTTTAATTGTTTTAATCTTTGCACCCCTGGTTGGATCGTTTCCAGCCCTTTTGCACGTGGTCTTCCATGATGTTAGAATTCCGCTCAGAGTATGTATTGTTGCGGGGTTGTTCACAGAGGGAAGAGATTCTAGATGAGCAGGTAAATTTGAACTTTCTGGGGTCTATGTATTCTGGTACAACTTAAAAGTTGGTTAAACGTTTTGCAACCAGAAACTCCATAACTACATGACTGTTTAGCTGTGAAACCGCCGTGGTTTTACAACATGGTGCATAGCAGAGATTACTGCATGGTCTGTGATTGGAAAGAATTTGTGTTTTTCCTTCTCAACATTCAAGATTCAATTTGCCCGGAATTCATATTGCAAGTTTGATGCACGACTCCCGCAAACTCTGAGCTCTAAGGAATGTGTACAAAGGCTGATTACTCTATCTGATGCGCCTACATACCTCTGAGCTGCTCGTGCCTTTTTTGTTGTTCGTCTCTACCCCTAAAACTTAGACCCCTGGAACCCCCAAATCCCTAAAGCCCCGAACACTAAACTCTCTAAGTGTGCCCGTGCTGAGGTTCCAGGTCCTGGAAAAGTACAAGCCGAAGCCAAAGGGTGAGAAAAGACATCCTCATCAACACCATCACCATCACCATTGAGCGGTTAAGGCACCTTTCTAAGTCGGGTCTAGGGGTTTAGTTTGGTGTTTAGGGTTTAGGGTTTGGAGCTTAGTTTTCAGGGCGGGACGAGGGAGCCAAGCACAGCAGGTACAATGCAACATGGAGCCAAGTCCAGGGATGATGAAAGGCTTTATCCAAGCATGGGCGGAGAGATCTCACTGAGAGCTTAAATGTTCATCTTAGAATCGTCCCGGGATCATGGGAGGGCTGTCGTACTGGAGATTGTAGACAGACATCATGGGCGGCACCTCTACAAATTCTGCCTCCCTCCGTGGGCAAGATGGGGCGAACCGAACCTTGAGAAAGCAAGAACCAGGTGAAGAAGTTCCACGATGTGAGCTGCCCGGGAATACTGCGTCTCAAAGACGCTAGCGCAGGCCATGCATAAGCAGTCGAGTTTTCCAGCACCAAACCTCTTAGACGACTCAAGACCTAGACTCGCCAATTGGGGGTGGGTGGCCCTCAACCCTACACCCCAAATCTTAATATGTGCTGAAGCCCTTTTGGGCCAGACTTGAGACATTGCAGTTCATGCGCGTGCAGAAGGTGCTTTCGAGCATCATAAGGTCCTTCCCCGAACCCTAATCACTATAATCCCTATATGTTTGCTCGAGGTTCAGCATAGGCTGTAGGTGGAGCTCAGCTCGTGCCTTCACATGCGGCAGCCCTTCAAGTAGCAACCTCGAATCGCTTTAGGGTTTGGGAGAGTCGGGACGACCAAAAGCAATATTTTGTGGCGGGAGAAACAAGAATGGTAAAGTTCCTAGCGCTAGCATCGTACCAACCGCGGTTTAGCAATACCCCCTAGCTTCCGCAACCTCTCCAGCTCCACAGCAATGAAGTCATTGAGCTGAGCTTTTGTGCGTCAAAGCGGCGCAAGTTTGTGTCAATGTGGGGAGTTTCCAACTTACGGCCCTCTTGAGGGAGGCCCCGTAATGAGGATGCCTGTTGTTACTTTTGATGTGTGCGTGCATGTGTACATGTAGATGTAGTCTGTTTGTATTTATATGTACATATGTAAATGTACACCCTGATTTTTTAGAAGCTCCTCGTGTAGAGGCTTGTAAACGCAAGCCGCTCAAAGCATGCCATGTGGCTCGCAAGCTTAGCTGCAAGGCCAATTTGCAAATCCTGCCCTTTAGGCCCAAAGATCCTCAGACAATCCTCAGACTAGAAAAATGGCAGCTAAGAGGCCTCACCACCGTTTGGGGATCGAGGCCCCCGGTAGCAAGCGCGCTTGTCTTTGGTCAGCGGGTTTCAACAATTGACTTGGGGTCGCACAGCAAGATACCTGTATAACTGCATATAGACCCTGGTGCCTTCTTTTCGGAAACTCTGATACCATCTGCGACGCCGAACTCTAAACCCAGGACGGCACTATAGTCGTTTGGCCTTGCATCGCTTGGACCAGATCAGGCATTTGCATCCCTCTCTTGAGAAAACAGGTATTTCCAAAGCTGAGGTCCTCTTCTCTGTCCCCCATGCTTGTGGTCTTTTATATAGGGACCCCAACCAAGGACCACTGATTCTTGGAATCCCCCAAATGCGGCTGTTCAAGTTGCAGTGCTTCTGATGCATCCCATGAGCTGCGGACAGACAGTAGGGCTTCTCATCTGGATCTGGCGAGGCGCGTGAGTTCTGCTCCCTGAGCTAAAGACACGGGACCTTATAACGCCGCATGCACAGGGAGACCCAAACGTGTACGTGGGATGGGCCTGCGAGTCTGGACCAAAGAAAGCTGGAGGTTAGCTAGGCCGCTAGGCAATCAATATCCTAAAAGCACGAGCAGTTCACCTTTTAGGTTCACACATAAGGGTATTGGGGGGTTGTTTGAGGGTTTGGTGTAGCCCTGCTTGAAGCCTCAGTGTGGAGATTTTAGGCTCATTTAGTCGTCGCTTCAGTGGTCGAGCGCCTGCACGCAGCCCCTTCATGCTGCCTGGACGCAGATGTTCAGTCTGAAATAATGGTGTTGAAATTTAAGCTGATAGTCTGATGGCCATATCAGTCGGAGTAGTAGCAATTCAAGCTTGACTGTTGACTCTAGTCGGGATCATCTCAGTAGCTGGTAGGCGTTCGAATGAGTAGTACGTACGCATTATGTTCATGGCAGACATCCTGCATTCCTTCAAGAACGAAGGTGAGTGGGCTGACAAAAGTGGCAGCCTTGTAGAGTAGTTCCTATTACCGATAGGTGCGCAACTCCATACTGGGATGGAATCCGAGAAAAAAGACTCTGCCACCGCCATGCTCAAGCACGGCTTTAGCAGCCCCCGAACAGGATTGCTTCTGATCGTTAAGCGAAGCCATTACATAAAACATTCGCACACGCACTCACAAGACCCTTATTTTTCGACGAGGGGCTGAACGTTGTCGCGCCCATTCCCGCGCACAACGGCAGGGTTGAAGGCTCGAGAGCACTCGGGCTCGGGCCTTGCCACGAGGAACTGTAGGTGCGGGCGGGCGGGAGAAAATTCTCCTTTCCAGCTGTTTCTCAATGGCGCCCACCACCCATCCAGCTTGCTGGCAACAAGCGCACGAGCGCAAACATCAGATCAAGCAACGTGTGGTTTCGCACGCCCTGCCGTAAGAACAGTGCAGGGCTCGCACGCTGAGTCGAAAACCGCTGGGAGTCCTATCAGGTGGTTAGAAGTCCTCCAAGCTTACACTTTCCTCAAAGTTAATCAGATTAGGCTCGGACTCTCACTACAGGGGCTGTGGAAGCAGGATCCTGGATGCGTTGAAACCCTAAACCCTTCCTTAAGCCGTCTTTCTACAGGATCCTCATGTTTTGTCAAAAGTGAAGGGCCTCCCTGGACTACTGCTGCCGCGTGCGGCGGGATGGCTTTGAGGAGAGAGTGGAGAGAGGCTCGGGTTCTGTGGCCTTTTGTATTGAGAGTGTTTCGGTCCCTTAAAAGAAGCGCTTTTGGATATGCATAAAGTTCATATATATATATTTTTTTTGGAGGGGGGGGTGAGGGGGGGCGGGGGGAACATTTATGTTGGGTTTCTGTACCTTTTTACAACAAAATACAAGTTTCACATGCTGAAGCTGGACTTCGTATCAGTGTTGAGGAGGCTAGGTCATTGGGGGAATCTGGAGTGAAGGGATTTAGGGCCTGCCGGCCATCAGGCTTAGACGGCCAGATGGTTCGGAGATTTTGAAGTCTCAGAGTTTGGGGCATGAAGCCATTGGAATTACCAACCTTGTGATTGTTTACCAGATTTTTGGGGCTTGGCTAGCCAAGTTTATCCAAGTTTTTAGGTGTCACCCTGACCTGACAAAACTCCGGGTCTGGGGTATCCCGAAGGCTCCGAACAGCAGATACGCATCTTTTTTTGTAGAAATTTATTGGCTCAGAGCCTTTGGGGATCAGTTTCTCGTGTGGCAGAGGAGCGAGTGCTTCACAGCGGTGGCAATTACGAGGTCCTAGGCCGCCGTGATGCTGAGCCTGGGTTCGGCCTGGAAACTTTCTTTCCCAAGGGCTCCGGACAGCCCAAAGTTGGTATAATTATTCGTGAGCTTAAACAACTTGTAGACTTGTAGCGAGGCGGCTTGTGTCCTATCCAGAGAGTCCAGAGATCAAAGCGCTTTGTTGCTTGGGATCTGAGGGTGCCAAGGATTGCGACGGGGAGCGTTTCCAAACGTCAGAGGTCCCCCTTAAGTGCCTCTGGCTCGTAACAACACTTATCATAAGGACTCCCAGAAGGGTCCGCTGTTCTTTGTCGTAATGACATCATTGCCACGGTTTGGGAGCATGTGAGAGTCACTGCGAGAGAAGTAACCGCTATGCATAGTTTATAGGGTTCAATAGGCTTGGCAATTGTCTCACGACACCAGTACTTCCGGCGAGGAAATCGAGATCATGATTACGGTTTGTGTGAACTCCTGTACATTTTTTATTCGGCGTACAATCCAGTACGCTTTCTTAGGGCTTAACACACATGCGATTCCCAGTGGTGGCCTCACTGGCAGCAAGATCATCGCGGGCAGTTGTGCAAACTTGAAGAGGAACATCCAGACGTTTTCCATGCCGCCCCGAAAAGAAGCGCGCTCCGAAGAAGAGTTGTCCAGGCAGAAGCGGGGTTTTGGGGCGTGTAAACAGTAGTTTCTGTTCAATTTTGGGCATGAGAAAGTTGACACCGCTCAGCCGAGGAGATGGATGACCTGGACCAGGACCATCTTGTTGTATTGGCTAGATGCCAAGAGATGCCAAGGACTTGTTTAATGTTCACGTCGTGTTCTCTTTGGGAGGTGGGGGCAGTAGAGCACTCTGCTTTTAGGAACTGAAGGAAGCAAGAGGTACTCAGCGATAGGCTCCAGTCGCCCTGGTGGACTTGTGCATAAGCACGGATTATGAAGGACTCTCCGAGTCCCTTGGCGGGAGTGCCTTAAGCAACTATGTGACGGTCATTTATGATACCTTGAAATCTTGAGTCGCCTTCCACGTTTTGTGCCTGCAACATCTTCCGAACCACTGATGATTGAACCTGGCACCCCGAAACTTACAGAACATGTCTTTTGAAGTGCCCGTGTTGCTAATGAGCAATGCACGTAATTTCAAGCTGCATTGATTTGATGTCTTGTCTTCCGCCTTGCGGAAGTTGGATTGCTTCGCTCAACGTTGCTGTGAAGCCTCAGAGTATGAGTGCCTGCACAAGCCCCGACAATGGTGTGCAAGAAGCATGGCGGTTGTGGGAATGGGCACACACATTCCGCCGTGGCAAGGGATGTTGTGCGCATCTGGCAGTCGGGTCTGGATTCACGACCGCTGCCAAGCGGCAGCAACTGCCGCGGAATGCCACAGAGCGCGCGTTGCGATGCCCCGCGACGGGGCAGCAAGGGCAGCTGCCGACTCAGACCTTGCACTGCCCGGGGACTCCTTGGAAGCGCTACGCAAGAAGAACAGAAATCTTAGTGCCAGGCTGCATGAAACGCCATGGCCTCGGTTGACGTCCTTTCGTGCCAACGGACAGTTGTA